TACTATTCACTACTGTTTAACTATTCACTATTCACTACTTGCCATTCACTGTTCACTATTTATATTCATCTATCGTCTTCGGCTCATAATAAGAAGATAAAAGCCGTGTATATTGAACTCGTCAGTATATTCTTAGGCTGAATTCTTTGTCAAATAATTAATTCTGCTTATTATAGGTCTTAACAGCACGGCCATGTATAGAATGTCTCTATTATACAACCAAATTGGCTACGTGATGCCACTCCATGTCCCAGAACTAACATAAATTAATCATCGTTTGTCATACTTGGGTCCGTATTATTTCACCGACAGTACATTTCACCGACAATTAACTACCAAAAAAGGATAACTTCGAAATAATGTTGGTGAAGATTTGTCGGTGAAATGATTGTCGGTGAAATGATTGCCTCCCGTCATACTTTTATCATTTCAACATCGATAATAATAATATATACATTATGTCACAAACATCGCGCGAGTCATCCATTGAACCAGGTGCATTATTTTGATGTTTTTTTTTTCCTTAATAGTTTTGCCATTGAGTAATGTAAGCATAAAAATGAGGCAGGCATTGATATTGTGTGGAGGTAGTATCGTAAAATATAAAGCAAACTTAGAAAGGAGTTTGAGCATTTTTTTTAAGAGAACAAGACAAATGTTCTTTAAAGTATACGTGCAGATTTAACTTTCTTGTAGATCACTCCGAAGATTACTGTCTTGACTAATAAAGTGAGGCGTAACTGACTTAATACAAATCAAGTAAAATATTATCGATTAAAAGCATAATCGAAAGGTGCAAATTCGATTTGGCTATTCAACGTCGATTTATGAACAACCACAGCGGATACACATACATCTGGGATGCCAGCCTGACTGCGAGCCCTATTTAATAAAAAGGAAAAGAAAAAAAAAGGTGAGAAGATTGATGTAAGGACGGGACTCAATGATAAAATAAAATTTTATTACCATCCGGGAATATTATTCTCACATAGTCCGAGGTCGAGTTTGGTTCTGAATACAAATACGGTATTTAGGCCACGTACATCTGTTCCTCTGTTTGCCGTAAAATGGTTGACGACAGCTTGTTTCGTCTGACCAGCGACGCCATTTCTACTACCAGAAGTCGCTGGGTCTTCGTTAAATCCTTGGTCATTCATTGTATAACAATCGCTGCATCATCGACTGTCATCGTTTTTACGGCATCAAGTACAATTTTTGCGGTAGTCTTATTTTGCAGTACAACGGGTAGCATAGCTTCTCCACATTTTCTAGCAAGTTTTTGTACTGCTGTTTCGTTTCGTCTGCCGAAAAGGTTGAGTAATTTTGGCATGTTGAGAAGCGTGAGGTAAGACCCACGTTTACTATTAATAATTATATTCAAGAACGTCGGAATAAGCCTCGGACTTTGGTTTTTTATCCCATTCAATATATATTTGTGATAGTCCTTCTAGATGTTTCTATATGCATGTGACTGTTATATTTACAGGCCTGTGATTTGCATCACACGAAGTTGTGAAGTTGCTAACTGTGGTCGGTAATGGAACATAACAATATTAATTTTTATTTTCACTCAAGCGCAAATGCGTGATTGGGTAATCAGTTGCAGATCATGTGTTGGTTCATTTTCTGTTCCTGTCTAAAAATGGAAGTAGGAACAAAAACAAGGGAAGAGGACCTTTAAGTGCGCTCTTCAGCTCGTAGTTGGATGAGCTATTATAATATTAATGCAGCAGCGTAAGAAAATGCATGAGCTACCAAATTTAGTTATTTTGAAATGGGCGTTGGTGGCATGAAACTCGTGATGTGTTCTGTTCGTATAAAACAGATCAGGATTACGGTTTCTATTTCCTTGTTGACGTTTGATAATACAAGGTCAACCCCGTTAAACCGAAACCCGTTAAGCCGAAAACCCCGTTAGAATGAACCTTTCTTGAATTCCGCACTATATCCTTCGGCTTATAGAGCAACCCGCCAATCCGTAATACGAAGAAAAATTGCTGCACCGTTGAAACTCGGGTTAGGGTTACGATATTCTGCTTCCTTATTATTAACCAGTTGAAGATCAGCACAGTTAATGAAAAGTAGTTATTGCACAAGTGGCATTAATGGCACAACTCGTTGATATTGTGAAATAGTGCTTATTAATATACTAACTATTTACAGCATAAATCGGCGGCGTAATGCTTATTAAATTCTGTAGTGTATCTAGCGTGTATATAATTTGCGTCACTATATAATTCCCGGAATTATATATACTATTTGTGGCAAAACCTGATTTACATTCACAGTGAACCTGGATATAACGAAACCTGGATAAAACGAATTTCGACTATAACGAAGTTTTTTCTATGTCCTAAAACTTTGTCTAATAGAATTTCCTGGATATAATAAAGTTAATTAAGAAACCTGGTTACTGGCTATAACGAAGTTTTAACTCAGTTGGCTAATAAGAATACAATGAAGTTTTCTTATAACGAACTTTACTATATTATTATAATAAACTTCATTATATTATGACAATCTTTCCATCAATGTAAATATGTACGTATGACATAATTCACTTCATATTTAAAAATTTACCGTAAATCCTAGTCTGTTTCCCGTCATGATGGTTAGAGACAAAGTGAAAAAAGACAATCCCTCAATTAAAATAGCCGAATTAGCCAAACAGTTGAATGTGCCATACCAACAGTCAGTGAAATTTTGTCAAATAGTGACTACTGGCTTAATATTGATGAAAACTCCACCACTGGTACATTTAAAAGAAGACGTAAAAGCAGTTTTCCTAATATAGAGGAAGCGTTGAGTCTTTGGGCAGAAAATGCAGCAAGCGACAAAGTGACCTTAACGGATTTAATTTTGAAAGAAAATGCTAAAAAATTCGCTGTTTTGTGAATTTGGTGCAACCAATGAGTGGTTGGAAGGATTCAAAATGAGAAACAATCTAAAAAGCAAGGGGAAGCCGGGAGCGTCGATTTGCCCGAGCAACGCGCGATGAAACAGCTCTGTTTTGGAAAATGAAACCTCGAAAAACACGGGAGGCAATCATTTCGTCGACAATCATTTCACCGACAATCATTTCACCGACAATCATTTCACCGACAAATCTTTACCAACATTATTTCGAAGTTATCCTTTTTTGGTAGTTAATTGTCGGTGAAATGTACTGTCGGTGAAATGATTGTCGATGAAATAATACGGACCCAAAAACACTTGCTCGCACGTCAGTTTCGGGAAAAAAATTGTTGAAGGATCGTGTATCTATACTTGCAACTTGTAACGCAACTGGGGAAGAAGAATTATCTTTACTGTTCATAAATAATCCTCGATCGTTGCGCGGAATTGATAAAACTACTCTTGGTATATGGTATTATTATAACAAATCCGCTGGATGCAACGCTATATTTGAAAGTTACCTTAGAAGGGTAACAACATGTTTCGCTTAAAAAACCGCAAAATTATTCTGCTAGCCGATAACGTCTCTAGTCACAAAGTCAATGATCTTGAACTATCCAATATCAAACTTCATTTTTACCCCCAAATACGTCGACCCAACTTCAACCCCTCGACCAAGGAATTATTTAGTCTCCAGGTCTGTGAAAAGTTATTTTTAATGACATAATAAATATCAGTTTATTTTCTTTACTTAATTCACTTATTATTATATAGGCATATTATCGGCAATTATTATGTTCACTTCACATCTCATCCATCTTTATGACGAACGATTAAATGATCCAACAATTATTCCAAAAATTACCATCCTTGATGCGACTAACTTCATGGTTAAAGCATCCTGGACTCGCGCGGATATTTTACCAGTTTCCCCATCCTCTATCCCTGTGACGTACGCTACAAAAGAAATTAAAGTGGTTAAAAGAGGGATAGCAGATCTCGTTCAGCGTTTGCCAATGGACATAGAAGAGTACATAGATATCAACAAAAACGCAGAAATTTATTCTTCTACTGACAAAAACGTTTTATTCCAAGAGATTGTAGATACGATTAATCATTTGAGACACTAGAAGAGGAAGAACCTTCTGAAGAACGAATTGTAACAAACTCTGAAGTGTTGTCGGGGTGTGATAACATACATTGCGCAAAAGAATTTGAATGTTGACTATTCTGTTATAAACACACTTAATAATTTAAGAAAAAAGATCTCTCAAACCAGTGTGGAATTGGCGCGACAAACCACTCGAGGAATATTTGACATTCGATGTGTAGTTTCTTTACAGTAAATTTTCTGTCTCAATAAAATTAATTTACTATATTGTAACACAAAATAGCAAATGATTACCTGCTTATACAAACTATAATGAAATTAAATAGGACTTCCTTATAAAGAGGAAACCTGGATATAGCAAAAACTTGGATATAATAAAAAAAAAAAAAAAGGTTGGAACGGACCACTTCATTATATCCAGTTTCACTGTGTATATTATTTGTGACTGATGGCCTCCCCCAAATCTACTTGTCGATACGATGATTGTTAAAATGTAAGTCAAACGTATTCCTAAGCGTTCATTAAAGTTTGTTCAAAAGTTATATTTCCAACCCGTCCTCTTTTTTACCCCTCCATATCGCTGCGAACTTCAGCCCATTTGGACAGTTGTAAAGAGTGAAGTCGCGCAATCAAGTCCACATTCCAACCTTTTATCTGTTCGAAATACTCTTTTAGATGCGTTTAAAACTAAAATTAATACAAAAGTCATAGTTGGGTTTTGAAAAAAAGCACTTAAAAAAATGCCTAGGAATATTTTGAGTCAGATGAAGATATGACGAAGAATTCGATGACTATGACGATTCTGATAATGATGAATAGATATTATCAGAAATTAGTATTTTCATATTTCCGAATATCTATCGAATAAAAAAGACTACTTAATAAGAAAAAAAATTATTTTTTTTTTTAGGTGTGCACCGGACCATAATTATTTTTAATATTGTTATTCAATACAATAAAATCACAAGCACTCAGACACATATATAACAACCCACTATACCAATAATATTAGTGGCTCTTCCATTGTACGACGTTCGCATTCTGCTTTAGTGATCAATTCACCAGTGTCTTCCATGATGAAACATCTCTTTCTTTGATGGCATACATAATTCGCAAGACCCTCCATTATATTAAATCCCAAGACACACATGTCATGTGTCATTTCGCACCATGTAAATACGATACCACGATCATCTAAAAACAAAACAACCATTCCATAACAACCTACAAACAGTGGGTGAATATTGGTGATGCCATATGTATCACTGAAGTATTTCTTATGTTCCTGATCAACTATCCATTTATCTGTAGGTTCATGGAATTCACAGAAATTGTCTTTATCATTCTTTAGTGCGTCAACCAAGTCTGACAAGCTTGGCAATTTTGGCATGGCTTCATTATTTCCTATTCCCCCGTTATTAATGACACTGTTCGAGACTTGATAGGGAGATCTGTTCTCCACTGGCATAAAAAAGTCCAAGCATTCATTTCCACGCAATTCCCGAACCCCCAATGTTCTAGAGTTGGAATCACATTCCCATCCTGGTCTCGAGGAAGAAGGTATTGGTCGTTCTCTTGTCGGAATGCAATCAACCAATCCCTTTGTTTCCCGCTGCAAGCTGTAATTGATGCACCAAATGCAACGTTGATAATCTTTTCCTGGTTTGATTCCAGGAGACGTTTATTGCTGCCGGACTTCCAACGATTGGGTTCCATTATATTTATCCATCGAAAAATTTGGTTGAGATGTCGAAAAAGAAACTTCACCTGATTTTGATATGTGAATTTCTTTCTCTTCTTGAGATTTTTCTTTGGGATGAACGAAAAGTTGGTATTTTTTTTTCTTTTTCTTTGGGAGGGGAAAGTTGTTCGTGTAAAGGTAACAGAGAGCATCCCATAAGGAGATTATGGTGATTCTGGTTCCATTCGCTTTCATAATCATCGGTTGACAATTGATTTTGTTGTTTTTCCTCCTGATGTGCATTAAAGGGCAAAGATTAACATCATGCATGCATAAAGAAAACCAAACATTTGAGACTTGCCTGTATAGCAGAAGATACTGCTTGTAAACTTTCTTTCCGCTTTTGCTCTTCTTTGCCATTTTTTTGATGCAATCCCAGATCTAGGGTGAAAAATGCTTAGAGAAAAAAAAATTAAAAAATTTTTTCGGTAACAAACAGCTAAAAATTACCTTGTTTAGCGTCTACGTGTATTTCTTCCTTAGTTGAAGATAAAATATTAAGATCAAGATTATTGAAAGCAGAGGCAAAGTTGATGCTATCCATTGCGATGTTTCCTATGATAAATAACAATGAATATAATGGGTAAGGTAATTTATAACAATGATGAGTAAGAAGAGATTGAGAGTAAGGAATAACATGCAAATTTATGCATCAGATTACTATTCGGGAAAAGGTCAAGTTTATGTGACGTGATTTCACATATTGTGGCTGTCAACTATTAGGCGGCTATATTACAGGGCATTGATCTCATATTGTATAGCAATGTTGTTATCGTTATCATTGTGATCAGTTTGTTCTTATTTCCGGAAAACAATTATGACACTAAATGCCCGGTCATGCCTTACTATTGGTTAACAAAATATTTATCCGCAGACTCTCACACCTTATTTTGCATATATAACAACATTTATACTTGTAAGGTTAGTATCATTATGTGCCATCTAACACGTCTACTCGTGTATACCCAAACGCGCAAACACAACGTTACTTAAATATACAGCGCAACGAGCCTTACTGCCACTCTACAAAGGAGTTTGAAAAACATTATCAAAATTACCGTATCGAGCTACCGCTGCATATGCGAATGGATTCCAGATCGATTGAGATTTTAGGTAAGATTTCTGGTATGGAAGAACTAGATATAGACTGATATCATTTAACCCCAAATTTGGCATGAACGAGAGTTCAATATATGATGTTTGAGTCTTACTCTAAAGGCTTAAGATTGTATCATAGATAATTTATTGCATTAGATCGCATATGCTTTACGTGAAAAATAATAAAATTACACAGAGAAATTCACATTACGAAGTCTCACTTGAACGGGTGTTCCGTAAAATGAAAAAGCTCTCCCAGAGCCAATTCATTTATTTAATATAGAAAACTGTTCAGATTGAAACGGACGTCTTCGTTAAAGTGAATTTCACTGTGTATATATCGAAAATTTATAATATCGATAGTACTATGTCAACTTTAATTTATTGAATAAGCTACATAAGGATTGTCCATTTTGTTGTCGACGTCATTAGCGATGCATGCTTTTAATTAAATTCATACATATAATACATATTCTTAAATAGGCACTATCAACTTGGATGGACTAAGCTATCCGTTATAACAGTAATTTTTTTTCCTGGACATATACAAAAAAAAAAAAAAAAAAAAAAAAAAAAAAAAAAAAAAAAAAAAAAAAAAAAAAAAGAAAAAAAAAAAAAAAAAAAAAAAAAAAAAAAAAAAAAAAAAAAAAAAAAAAAAAAAAAAAAAAAA